TTTCACATCATAGGATTTCTGATAATCACAAAATGGTGTTTTTATTGTTTGGAATCTCCAAATGGTGTTGTGTTCCTTATGTTCTTTTAGCCTTTTGGTAACTGATAAACTGACTGCTCAATTTTTTCGTGTTTCCTCCCTGCTTGATTCAAACACTTTCAGAGTTTGGCGGTTTACCGATCATAATCACAGTATCAATATCAGCTGCAATTATGCTCCTTTTCGCGCTCACCATTGTACTTCGCCTGAGAAGGAGATCTCTGGTGCCCAATGTTGAAGTGCCAAAGAAAGAGATGGAGAGAGTTCCCAGCAACACAAGCATAGCTATCCTAGAGAGCCGTTACTTTCCAACCAAGAGGATTGATGGTCTCGTTATGCTCCCTATGCTACATGTAAACATTTCGGATACACACATCGTATAACTCTCGGTCAATTGGTTGCAGATATTGATCCATTCCAAACGGAGAGGCCTGTGATTTTCAGCCTGAAAGCGGTTGGAGAGGCCACAGCTAACTTTGATGAGAAGAGGAAGATTGGTGAGGGTGGATATGGCATGGTCTACCTAGGTTTCATAGGAACACATGTAAGAAGTTTATGTAGTATCTTTCTCAGGTAACTATAATCTTGAAGCAACATCAGATCCTTATATTTGACCTTGGTTGCAGGAGATTGCAGTTAAGATGATGAAAGACAGCAAATCAAAGGAGTTCTTTGCTGAGCTGAAAGTGCTGTGCAAAGTACATCACATAAATGTGGTACGTACTTATTGTAGAATCTACCAGGAAATGAACATCCATGCTACGATGTTGTCATAAACTTGCGCAATTCTATATAGGTTGAGTTGATTGGCTATGCTTCTGGGGAGGATCACCTGTACCTTGTTTACGAGTATGTTCAGAATGGATCACTGAGTGAGCATCTCCATGATCCTTTGCTGAAAGGTACATGAAAGAAATATAATCATGCATCTTGATATTTCTTTGCTTCTGTCAACGAAACTTGATTTATTGCTTATCGAAAGTTTGAATGAGGTACTTCTTGATTCTTAGGTCATCAACCTCTCTCATGGACTGCAAGAACACAGATAGCAACGGATGCTGCACGCGGTATCGAGTACATCCATGACCATACAAAGGCCTGCTATGTGCACCGTGACATCAAAACCAGCAATATTCTGCTAGATGATGGACTAAGAGCTAAAGTGAGCCATTCAAAGCCACAAAGTTTCAAGTGTTACCCGCTAAGCTATTGCAATCTGATTATTTTCTGGATAACAGGTTGCGGATTTTGGGCTGGTAAAGCTAGTTGAGCGCAGCGACGAAGAAGATTGCCTGGCAACTCGTTTGGTTGGAACGCCAGGCTACCTTCCACCGGAGTTAGTTTTTAACTTGGATATGATTTTAAAAAATTCAACTGATGAAGCTTCAAATGTAATAGTGATACCAAGCATCAACCCTGCAGGTCAGTTCGTGAGCTTCACATGACCACGAAGTCTGACGTCTATGCGTTTGGAGTAGTTCTTGCAGAGCTGATCACTGGTCTCCGTGCACTTGTGCGGGACAATAAGGAAGCTAATAAGACAAAGTCGCTTATCTCAACTGTAAGAGCAATGAGAAACGCGCTGTTTCAATTCTTATAATTTGCCGATCTGTTTTTGACACTGTTTGCATCATGATTCTTGTCATGCTCTGAACAGATGAGGAAAGCTTTCAAATCAGAAGATGTGGAGAGCTCACTGGAGAAAATCATAGATCCCTCCTTGAAGGACAACTACCCCATAGAAGAAGTGTGTAAGGTTAGTAGTAAAACTGTTCATCACTACTGACACAGTGAAACATCTCAGTTAGCCTAATCCTGCATTTCTACCGTGTATAGCTGGTAAACATTTCGATGTGGTGCTTGAGTGAGGATCCATTGGACAGGCCTGAGATGAGGGAGATTATGCCAATGCTGTCTCGAATTCATTTGACCTCCATAGAGTGGGAAGCGTCGCTCGGAGGTGACGCCGAAGTCTTTAGTGGTGTTTTCAATGGTAGATGATCAAAACGGCATGTATGCTATCATGTAGATACTAGAAGTGTGCTCCTGTTGATTTTTGTTAGAGAATGGTTATTGGTTTGCAGCTTCTGGTATATTTGTACTTGCGACCAAGTTGTTCTCTTTGCAAGATTTTGACTCAGTGAAGTCAGCCATATAATTTCTTTTGATAATGGAGGAATTGGTAATGGAATAGCAGAATTAGTTTCTTCAGATTCTGACGTAACAAACAATTTCTGTGTGCTAGCAATATCTCTACGTGTGATTCGTTAAAATAGATCTTTTTCATCTTGCTCGCAGAATTGTATCTACAGACACGCGACTTTTTCAGATTTATCTGCAACAATTATCAAACGAAAGACCAAGGGTTGTTAATGCTCCCATCAAACCATGTAAAAGGTATTACTAAAAGGAACTACTATTGAAAATACTATACTATACCATACTAACAAGATTAAACTTGGAAGATTTTGATTTTTCTGGTAATTTTGGGATGATTGCCGCTTAATTAGGAGGGGACACCTGTAAATAGGGGGAGGTCGTGGGGTAACTTCTTGGTGTGGGTCTTAGTGAAACTCCAACATGAATAACCAAATCACCTGCAAATCTCTGGACGGTCCGGACACATTTGGCCATCCAATGACGGTCCCCAAATTTGTCCGGACCGATCTTGACGGCCAAAATCTCCCAAACCGGCACCAAACTGAGGGGAGGTTTGCGGGTGCCCAGACGTCCTTCACACAGAACTCTGACAACGCGGATCCATCCAAAAAAACCATCCGACACACACATTTTTCACTGGTTTGTCCACCCTCTTGTGCTCTGTATACACGCTCCCAGACTCCAACGCTGCCGATGTACCACCCGGACGCCACCCAATCCTTGTCGAACTTTCGCCGCTCCACCCAGGCGCTCGCTTGGCTTTGCCTACGCCATTGATCCACCCAAGAACCGGCTGCAGCCCAAGCATTCTCCACCCCTACCAACGCTCCCCATGGCGGACACCACGCCTAACAAGTGTTCAACGAGATGCCATTGCCAAGTTTTTTTTATATTCTAATTGTTTACTTTGAAGCAAACGTGAAGGATTCAGACGAGGAGTACTTCTACATCGAGTTCATGAATTCGTCTTTGTCGAACGAGAATGAAGATGATGTTGAAGGCGATTCTTGAAGATGCAGACTGTGCAGAGGAGTGTGGTCTCAACTACGACGGTTCAACAAAGGGACATCGAGTGTTGAATCGACATAGGGCATTTGGCCATATGATGTTGTACGACGATCCACTATTTGAACCCTATTTCCGCCCCCAATTTCAGATGAGGCGACATGTGTTCAAACGCATCTACCAAGGTGTCAGGCCTATGATGGAGGGATGCTGTTGGAAACATTGGGTTCTCTTGCTATCAGAAATGCACGACTTTCTATGAGGATGTTTGCCATAGATTGGTGGGATGGTACCTTTGGATGGCTAAAAGCACATGGCTCGACGCCATGGTAGATTTGTTACTACATAGTTGTACCGGAGTACTTATTGCAGACACAACAAAGCTCGTGGCAATTGAAGAATCAAGAGGGTTTCCACGTATGCTCAGATCCTTGGATTGCATGCACTCGATAAGGAAAAACTGCTCGTATGCTCAACAGGGCAATATCAGGGCCATTGCAAAAAGCCCACCATCATTCTTGAAGCATTTGCATCGTAAGATCTTTGAATTTGACATTCTTTCTTTGGCATCCCTCGGTCTCACAATGACATCAACGTGTTGTCGCCGTCTTCATCGTTTGCAAGGTTGTATGTGGGCGAAGCTCCTACGTGCAGCTATACCATCAATGGTCATGGTTACAACATGTGGTGCTATTTTTGTGTAGCCTCTCTGGACCTAGACAAAGCCACACAAAATATCCATCATTTGGGGCTATCATTATATTTTTCATGGAATTAAATATATTTAAGTTAAAATTTGGGATTGTATTTCAATTGTGGGAGCTTCTCAATATTAGTGGAAGGCTATATCTATGGTTCAAGAGATTTCATCATGCTAAAGTCCCTCAATTTAAAAAATATATAAAAATATATTCATATTATCAAATTGTATTTTAATTAGGTTTTGCATTTAAATAACATTGGGAGTTTAATTTGACCTATTCAAGTTTAAGGCATGATGATGAAAAAGAAACTAACAATCAAATCTAAATCTACACTTACTCAGGGTTGTTACAATCGACCACACTCAAATGAAATCTTGCCCTGAGATTTAGGCGATAAGGTAAGAGGGGAAGGATTGGGCTACAAATCCAACAAATCTTCTCGTTTCATGTTGCTCTCCTCGAGGAGGTCAAACCATTGCATCATGGTGAACTTGATATCCTTCCTTCGCGATTGTTGTTACGGGCCTTTTGCTGAACTTGCTACCCTTCCTACGCGGGGCGGGGGCTGCAATTCTAGAGAATGAAACTTCTAGGTTCGGGGGATTGTTATGCGACGACTTTGAGATTCACAAAATCACCGGGAGTCTCTTGTTGAGTATTAACTCGTTCAATCACCATCATACTCGCAGGGTTCTCATAAAAATGTTTTTGATTAGATAGTATCTACACAAAAATATAAGATCATTTGTCACACCTATTTTTCATATGTCCTTTTAAAGAAGTAAGTATGCAAGACAGCTACCAACAAAAGCACATGTGATTATCAGTAAAGAACACTCTTTTTCAAGGGAGTAAAGAACACATTTAATCCATATAATTTTTTTTCATCACATCATAAAAGGAGTACACGTGTACAGCACTGACATCTGGATATAACCGCTGGATTTAATGGAAGCTTGGAAGGCCAACAATTGAGTCCCCCGACCTCACCGGTCAGCTCAGGCTCAGCAGCCGCCCGATTCGCGCCGCCCTCCCGACTTCCGTCGCCGTTCGCCGCCGCAGAGCGCATACACCGCGGCGCGCCCCGAGTGGATGTGGTGGGAGGAGGTGAGGAGGAGGGAACGCGGGGAGCTGCGCGCCCGGCGCTTCGAGGCCCTCGCCCGCTCGCGCCGCGCCGCCTCGCTCGCGCTCTCCAACCGCAAGGAAATCACGACCCCGCACCTCGGCGCCGTCAACTCCCTCCAGGTCCTCTTCTCCCACATCGCTCCCCCAATCCGCCCTGTCACTGCCTCCCGCCCGCCGCCCCTGCATCAGCTGCGCGTAGCGCACAGATCAGCAGTACTATTAATTTTGCGTGTTAATCCGTCGAGAAACTGCGCCTAGCGAGATTGAAATTCTGTGCGGTGCGTGAATCGACGTTGCTGGCGTTCGTAATTTGACAATATGGCCAGGTTGATTTGACAGAGGGGAGGTACCTGCTCTCGGGGGCGTCGGACGGGTCGGCCGCCGTCTTCGATTTGAAGGACGCGACGGAATACGAGGCCGGGTTCATAGCCAAGCACAGGAGCATTCTGCTTGTGGACAAGCAGCATCAGCATGGCCACAAGTTCACCGTCTCCAAGGCCATCTGGTATCCTGTGGACACCGGGCTGTTCGTCACGGCCTCCTTCGATAACTATGTCAAAGTGTGGGATACCAATTCGACTCAAGTATGTGTTGTTGCGCTTTGCTTTGTCCAATCCTGATCTTAACATTTTGCCCCGTTGAGGTGTTGATTCCGATGTTCTGGTCGTTCTGGGATTGGTTTTCTTTTTTCCTAGATGGTCATGGATTTTAAGATGCCCGGAAAAGTGTACAGTGCTGCAATGTCTCCGATTGCAACAACGCATATGCTCATCGCTACCGGAAGCGCAGACGTTCAGGTCCGTTTGTGTGATATTGCTTCCGGGGCCTTTACTCACACGTTGTCCGGTCATCTTGGTTAGTCCCTTCCTGCTAGTGTGATGATGAAGCAGCATTCTTGTTTTGTTTTTATGCTTATCCTCTTCGATCATCTCAGATGGTATCATGTCTTTGGAGTGGTCTACCTCAAGCGAGTGGATCCTAATGAGTGGTGGCTGCGACGGGGCGATACGTTTTTGGGACATAAGACGAGCTGGATGCTTCCTTGTCCTTGATCAGTTACGGTCTCAGCTAGGAAGACGGCCTCCCATTCTTGATGGCACCACCGACAACGTATGCTTGCCATCACCCTTTACTTTTTATCTGCTTCTGGGTTTGGTTATTTCTTCAGAATATATTTGCTCGCAGGGCTAATACAGAACTGCTTGCTATTATTCTGGCTACTGTTCCAAAACTGTTAGGTCTCCAAGTAGGAGTGGATTTTTCCCGCAAGAAAAGGGTACAAGCGGATACCTGGTATATATTCATGTCCTAGGCCTATGTCATTGTTTTAGCATCATCATATATACTCCCTCCGTTCCCAAATACTATGTCTTTTTAGAGATTTCAACAAATGACTACACACAGAGCAAAATGAGTGAATCTATACTCTAAAATATGTCTACATACATCCGTATGTTGCAGTCCATTTGAAATGTCTAAAAAGACTTATATTTAGGAACGGAGGAACTAGATGGTATGGATCAGTGTAGTGCTCTAGTTCTTAAAAGATGGGATCTGCATTTCATTGGGAGATAATCCATGCTGCTCTACACAAGGTTCCTTCCTGCTGTTTATTGTTGTGTCCTTAAAAAATTGTTGATGTCATGCAAGTACAATGGGAGATAATTAATATTATTAGGTTCTTGTGTTGTTCATTGTTGTGTCTGAAAGATGGTTGATGACGTGCAAGTACATCTGCTAGTTGACATCTTCAATGCATATATATTTTTCGTCTTAAGCAGCATCAGAAGAACTTAGGACGTTCATCTTCATCAAAGAGTTACTCGGTTCAGCAGAGGACAGGCAATCATAAGAAGCAGTCCAAAGCACTACGCAAAAGTCTAACCATGGTACGTGGACATACGCAACAGAAAGTGCATCCCGGTATGTCATCCAGTCAAAATCATAAAACAGCTCATTATGGTGCTGTTACAGGATTAAGAACAACAACAGATGGGATGCACCTTCTTAGCTCAGGTTGAGTTAATCTCTTCTCTATCGGTTATCTGCTGTGATGCCTGAAATTGGCATGCAGTGCAACAATGATAATTTAAGCTTAAGCCTGTTATTAAGAAGAGGTTATCGTTTCTCTTCAGGATCTGATTCTCGTTTAAGACTCTGGGATATCGATTCAGGCTGCAATACTTTGGTCAATTTTGAAGCCATGCGATTGCAAACTAGCAAGCCACTACAACTAGCTGTCACTGATGATCCATCACTTGTGTTCATTCCATGCATGTCAAGCATCAAGGTATGCTGTTGCTTTTCCAGCTTTATGGCTTCATTCTGCATTTTGAAGTTCACGTCTAAGTATTGTACTTGCTTAGGCATACAATACATGGTCTGGTACGACATTTCAAACATTCCGTGGGCATTATGACCATGTAAATTGCTGCTACTATAACTCACAAGACCAAGTAAGTTTTCCTCTATTGTTCTCTGTTAAGCTTTAGTGTTTTAACATATATTCCATTCCTAAATGTTCGAGAATGCAGGAACTCTATACTGGTAGCAATGATCGACAAATTCTTGTGTGGTCTCCATCGACTCCTGCTTTGACTGAAATGGTACAAAACCTATCTATTGACACCATGCATTTTTTTTTAGTGAGTTAATATTCTTCCAATGGGAGTTTGAGAAGGAAGAGTACAAAGTTTTTGTGTAAATTTGATGATTTGACGCTGCTAAATATCTGCAGGAAGACGATGACAAGCGGCAAGAAGGTTTTGCAGCTGATGAGGATAACTGGAGTGACTGAGAACTTCTGAGTTTTTTGAGGGAGAGGACTTATGAGTTGATCACGTGTATATATACAAGGTTACTAACAATATTGACATAAGTGATGCCGAAATAAAGTCAGGGTTCTTGTTAGGTATTACATGAACAAGTAATTACTTGTGTTTGCCTACTACTCCCTCCGTCCGAAAATACTTGTCATCAAAATAGATAAAAATGAATGTATCTAGAACTAAAATATGTCTAGATACTATCTCCTTTTATCCATTTTGATGACAAGTATTCCGGACGGAGGGAGTACTATGAGAGGATGTTGTAATTTAGGATTTGAACTTTTTGTAGTTCATTGAGACTTATGTATTCAGACATCATAACAAAAAGAGAGCAGTATTATGTACGGTTCACCCAACTGCTATTTATGTATACATTGTTCTTGCTAAGGCATTGCACATGTTTTATGTCTTCTCTGTGGCTAAAGTTCCTGAAGGGACCAGCAACCAAATTTATAAAACCAAATTACCATTGCTATTGGTCTGTTATCAGACAGATACTGAATACGGAGTAGTATTAACTTAATCAGGGTCCCCATCAGCAGAAGACACATGAGTTCTGCTGTTAGGTTCACATGATGCAACATATCACGCAACTTTTGATCAAGAGCAATGGCTCATGATTTCCATTATTCGTCTATTACATATTGGCGTGACATTGTTCAGTTTGTCAATGACATTGCTGAATTTGTGTGACTGCGTAAACAATAGATGTACATATGTTACAGCCTTACAGGAAGAAAAAAAAACTCAGTTACAACTTGCACCAGGTTCAGAGAAGTTGCAGGCGCCTAGCCCGCACTTATTCCAGACCTATGCCCTTTATTCTGTTGCTGAGCTGCTAATATTCTCAGAACTACTCCCTCTGTCCAGAAATACTTGTCATCAAAATGGATGAAAATGAATGTATCTAGAACTAAAATACATCTAGATACATCTATTTCAATGACAAGTATTTCCGGACGGAGGGAGTATGAGCCCAAGATATGCAGGAGCTGGTAGCTCATATTGCCTGAACTTGAGTTCCTAAACTACAAGGATCTGTTGGAGTTCCTAAGATACACAGCTCTGTTATGTACTCCCTCCGTCCGGAAATACTTGTCGGAGGAATGGATGTATCTAGATGTATTTTAGTTCTAGATACATCCATTTTTATGCATTTCTCCGACAAGTATTTCCGGACGGAGGGAGTATAACTGTGCATCACTGGACATCCGCAATGGCAACCCGTTGAAAGGTTGAATCGGACGAACATACCATATATTGCTGCAAGTAACAGCTGATGCTGCAACAGCTTATTGTGTAGGTGGATACACACGGAAGACCCTGGGTTGCAGCGAACATTCCCCATTTGTGCTTGCCTTTTAGATCCTCTGACAACGAATGATGCCTGCAGCGCCTCCATAGCATAACCATTTCTCGCTGCCTTTGTTCATATTCCACCTCAGTTGATGCAGCGCTACAGCTTTGGGAGGGAAGAGCTCAAAGTCTTTAGTGTCTTCATCAACTGGGACGTTGCATGTGCCACCATTCTCTAGCATAAGAGAATCGGCTAAAGCCAGAGCATTAGTCTCTTGGCCCTCCCCAGGTCCATCTAGTCGACCCTCTCTAAGTTCTGGATCTACATGTTCTGCAGGGTAGTTCACCAGGCATGTCAGGCACTAAGGCAACGGTACAAGTTGCAGCAAAATGGAGAGAGTTTTTACCTGAGTTGGTGAGTGTTAGTACTTGCTCTTTTTGTGTATTGTGGGCTTTAGGTACTTTTTGGCATGGTTTTGGACCCTTCTTTGCAATCAGAGGAACATTTGACAAAGGAGAGCTTTGCAATGTTCCACCAATCTTAATGGTTGTTCCCTCCTCTGCTAGCGAACCACAAAGGAAATAGGGCACACGGTTCCTCCCAGGTTCCTTCTCCCAGAATCTCGAAGTAAGCTACACGTGCAATATTTGTTTAGCACACAAGAGATTCTATATGACAAGCAGAAGTAGAAAATGACCATGGTTATGGAGTACAGGCTAGCGGGTTTACCTGGAAGCGCACAGCAGTACCATCTGCCACACAATAAGCCGCATAACCTGTATGTAGGCAAAATTTAGGATCATAGCAATTATAAGATTCCGCCAATATGTGCTTAAGGTTGATTTTTACAAGAAGTTACTCATTCTCCCTTGCTTCTATATAGAGATTCATTTATATATCTTTAATATCAAGTGTCCAAAATGTAGGAAAAATATATAACATAATAAGTATCAGAAAAAAGGTGATCCAGTGTCCAAACAGAATATTATACAAGGTATTAATATTACTAAACTAATAAGCTGTTCAAATATCACTATATATGCCGCAATAACATAATTATAAGCTTTACATTCATTTACTTAACACAACAATGTATGGAGAGCCCCGCATAATGTGTTTCCAGATTCCAGATAGTTCCCTAAACAGTTTTGCTAAAGCACATCTAGATGTGTGTGCCTTGAGTATTGCACATCTAAGTCCTATGTCATTGATTTTACAGAGATTCGTGCAGGCATTTTCTTTTGTCTTTTGTCTTTTCCTTCCTAGTTTGATTGAGTCACTTAGATGTGCAATAATTAGACAAGTCAAGAATTCTTAGTAACTTGTAACTGCATACTACTTAGCCCGGATATTGACACGGTTAGGCATGGTTCTGGAAATGTACCGGTAATTTCTGAGACATGGACATTCCATATCAAATATTCTGACAACTGATAAGTAGAAACGCCCTGAGTTTTAGTCCCAGCAAATGGCCTTCCGGTGACTGGAACATCATTGGCAATTCTAGGTAGGCTGAGGAACTTCAATGTGCCATCTTCCAGTGAGATGATAATACCTCTGAACATGAAAGATAGTAACAGTTAATGTCATTAACCTAGTAGACAGAAAATATCTATATCCTGCATATATACACAGAGTAAGGCCCCATTTGGGAGCTCAATAGAAGTTTCCACACATACAGATTTTACCAGTGTATTTTACTAGGCAGTAGGCACAAACAATACCATTGTAAACAAGGGAATCCTAAACGTAATCATGAACGAACGCAAAAAAAGAAGTGAGGTGAACTTTAGTGTCAATAAATTCAAACCAAACATGGCAAGCCACACGAGTCCTATATATGTTCACTATGTTTAGGGCAAGAATCACAGTTTGTTGGGCCAATGATCAAGTAATGCATTAGATCCTCCCAATAAAGGGGCAATCCTTGCACAAAAATATATTACCTCCGTCCCAAATTACTTGTCTTAAATTTGTCTAGATACGGATGTATCTAACACTAAAACATGTCTAGACAAATCTAAGACAAGTAATTCGGGACGGAGGGAGTAGAATACACATGAGTATATAAAATCATTTGTGTTTTTTATAAGCTATACAAACTAAATACAAATTGAAATGTAAAGGACACAGAAGCATTAAAAGAACTAATTAGTTTTTATAAGCTACACATCTACCTTAGCAAGTTAGCGTGCTGACATATCACACAGATCAGATGAGCCATGTACGTATTGTATAAGACCATCATAAATTCTTTTTCCAATTTTCTTGCAACTGTGATTTGTGTTTCAACTTTAATGAATATAGTGATATGTGTGCATCAGAAATTACCTAGTTTCTCACTGACAGGGTAAAATGAAAAACAAGGTAAAACCAAGTCCCTATCCTCAACTGGGTAGTGATGAAAGGTAAGTAAATGTCATGTAATGAAGGAAGCTGAGTACATTAGTGTCTGCAAGATTTATTTACTCTGGAAGCAACAGGACTCATTACTACAAACGGAATGAGATTCATTTGTTACAAATGGCATAAAACATTACCTAGCCTCCTTTAACCAATGAAGACTTAAAACAGCCCTTGGGGCAGTGGTTAGTTCCCACAGAGGACGGTATGGATCTCTGCAACAAACAAGTTATATGAGATGCATTTCAGTATTCAAACATTGCAGCTCATTCAAAAAAACATAGTAAGAAAAGGTTGTGAATCCAGCAATCATATTACTGTTTGCTGACAATATTTACTCAATTATAAGGTTATGCTGGTGCCAAAAAAAACACTCTTCAATAGTAGCTGCTACGCCTATGGTTACTTACTTCAGCTTCAAATTTTCATAAAACTTGATAACGGCCATGGGCTGTGGCAACTAAATGGCGATGTTTTCCGTTGAAAGGTGTGCTGTATTTGTTCATGTGAGGATAACAGATTCTGCAGATTAAACATACCTTCGTTTATTGACCCAAATGTTATCATTGCAAAACAGCACACAAAAGATGTATGGTTCTCAAATTGCAAAGTGCAGTCAATTCGTTTAGAAAAACCTTCCTAGGTGAAATATTAACCAAAAAATAAATTATATTGACTATGACTATTGAGACAAGCCTCAGCACCACTCCATATATGCAATACCAGAAAAGGGTTAGCAAATACTACCTCTGTACCAAAATATAAGACGTTTTTGTAAGCTAAACAAGCCTACAAAAACGTCTTATATTTTGATACGGAGGTAGTAGTAGTTTTCTCCACAACAAAATTTGAGTTATTGATTCCAGTTCCTAGTAGAGTTTATGCTACCTTAAATCCCAGAATTTTAGGCCATCCTCTCCAGCAGTGACGAAGATATTTGTGTTTTCCTCACTGTCAAAATGATATGGAGTCAGAACTTAGCGTTTATCTTTTGGAATGGAACAGAAGTATAACACAGCTTACTACCTTACATATGGTGCCCACGAGAGGGCTCTGATGGGAACAGATTCAGCAGTGACACACATAAAAGGTTTTGAATCTATACATAACGAGAACAACTGGTTAATATAACACAAAAAGGAAATAAAGAGGTATGCAGTTCAGGCATTCCAATAGCTTGCTCTTTAAACATGTGAAGTAAGCAGTTCCTGAGTCAGACATGTCATCTGAATGGCATAAGTGACAGAAATCCTATGAAAAGGGAGGTAA